CAACTCACCATGAAGGCAGTTGGTTAGGAAAGCCATGTAGTAACTGACAATCAACTCACCATGAAGGCAGTTGGTAAGGAAAGCCATGTAGTCATTGATAATCAACTCACCATGAAGGCAGTTGGTAAGGTAAGCCATAAAGTAATCAACAATCAAATCAACATGAAGGCAGTTGGTAAGGAAAGCCATGTAGTAACTGACAATTAACTCACCATGAAGGCAGTTGGTAAGGAAAGCCATGTAGTAACTGAAAATCAACTCACCGTGTAGGCAGCTGGTAAGGAAAGCCATGTAGTAACTGACAATCAACTCACCATGAAGGCAGTTGGTAAGGTAAGCCATATAGTAATTGACAATCAACTCACCGTATAGGCAGCTGGTAAGGAAAGCCATGTAGGAACTGACAATCAACTCACCGTGTAGGCAGTTGGTAAGGAAAGCCATATAATAATTGATAATGAACTCACCATGAAGGCAGTTGGTAAGGAAAGCCATGTAGTCATTGACAATCAACTCACCATGAAGGCAGTTGGTAAGGAAAGCCATAAAGTAATTGACAATCAACTCACCATGAAGGCAGTTGGTAAGGAAAGCCATAAAATAATTGATAATCAACTCACCATGAAGGCAGTTGGTAAGGAAAGCCATGTAGTAACTGACAATCAACTAACCATGAAGGCAGGTGGTAAGGAAAGCCATGTAGTAATTGACAATCAACTCACCATGTAGGCAGCTGGTAAGGAAAGTCATGTAGTAATTGACAATCAACTCACCATGAAGGTAGTTGGTAAGGAAAGCCATTTAGTAACTGACAATCAACTAACCATGAAGGCAGGTGGTAAGGAAAGCCATGTATTAATTGACAATCAACTCAACATGAAGGCAGTTGGTAAGGAAAGCCATGTAGTAATTGACAATCAACTCACCATGAAGGCAGTTGGTAAGGAAAGCCATGTAGTAACTGACAATCAACTAACCATGAAGGCAGGTGGTAAGGAAAGCTATGAAGTAATTGACAATCAACTCACCATGTAGGCAGCTGGTAAGGGAAGCCATGTAGTAATTGACAATCAACTCACCATGAAGGCAGTTGGTAAGGATAGCCATTTAGTAACTGACAATCAACTAACCATGAAGGCAGGTGGTAAGGAAAGCCAGGTAGTAATTGACAATCAACTCACCATGAAGGCAGTTGGTAAGGAAAGCCATTTAGTAACTGACAATCAACTCACCATGAAGGCAGTTGGTTAGGAAAGCCATGTAGTAACTGACAATCAACTCACCATGAAGGCAGTTGGTAAGGAAAGACATGTAGTCATTGATAATCAACTCACCATGAAGGCAGTTGGTAAGGTAAGCCATAAAGTAATCAACAATCAACTTACCATGAAGGCAGTTGGTAAGGAAAGCCATGTAGTAACTGACAATTAACTCACCATGAAGGCAGTTGGTAAGGAAAGCCATGTAGTAACTGAAAATCAACTCACCGTGTAGGCAGCTGGTAAGGAAAGCCATGTAGTAACTGACAATCAACTCACCATGAAGGCAGTTGCTAAGGTAAGCCATATAGTAATTGACAATCAACTCACCGTATAGGCAGCTGGTAAGGAAAGCCATGTAGGAACTGACAATCAACTCACCGTGTAGGCAGTTGGTAAGGAAAGCCATATAATAATTGATAATGAACTCACCATGAAGGCAGTTGGTAAGGAAAGCCATGTAGTCATTGACAATCAACTCACCATGAAGGCAGTTGGTAAGGAAAGCCATAAAGTAATTGACAATCAACTCACCATGAAGGCATTTTGTAAGGAAAGCCATAAAATAATTGATAATCAACTCACCATGAAGGCAGTTGGTAAGGAAAGCCATGTAGTAACTGACAATCAACTAACCATGAAGTCAGGTGGTAAGGAAAGCCATGTAGTAATTGACAATCAACTAACCATGTAGGCAGCTGGTAAGGAAAGTCATGTAGTAATTGACAATCAACTCACCATGAAGGCAGTTGGTAAGGAAAGCCATTTAGTAACTGACAATCAACTCACCATGAAGGCAGGTGGTAAGGAAAGCCATGTAGTAATTGACAATCAACTCACCATGAAGGCAGTTGGTAAGGAAAGCCATTTAGTAACTGACAATCAACTCACCATGAAGGCAGTTGTGTAGGAAAGCCATGTAGTAACTGATAATCAACTCAACATGAAGGCAGTTGGTAAGGAAAGCCATGTATTAATTGACAATCAACTCACCATGAAGGGAGTTGGTAAGGAAAGCCATATAGTAATTGACAATCAACTCACCATGAAGGCAGTTGGTAAGGAAAGCCATATAGTAACTGACAATCAACTCACACTGAAGGTAGTTGGTAAGGAAAGCCATGTAGTCATTGACAATCAACTCACCATGAAGGCATTTTGTAAGGAAAGCCATAAAATAATTGATAATCAACTCACCATGAAGGCAGTTGGTAAGGAAAGCCATGTAGTAACTGACAATCAACTAACCATGAAGGCTGGTGGTAAGGAAAGCCATGTAGTAATTGATAATCAACTCACCATGTAGGCAGCTGGTAAGGAAAGTCATGTAGTAATTGACAATCAACTCACCATGAAGGCAGTTGGTAAGGAAAGCCATTTAGTAACTGACAATCAACTCACCATGAAGGCAGGTGGTAAGGAAAGCCATGTAGTAATTGACAATCAACTCACCATGAAGGCAGTTGGTAAGGAAAGCCATTTAGTAACTGAGAATCAACTCACCATGAAGGCAGTTGTGTAGGAAAGCGATGTAGTAACTGACAATCAACTCAACATGAAGGCAGTTGGTAAGGAAAGCCATGTATTAATTGACAATCAACTCACCATGAAGGCAGTTGGTAAGGAAAGCCATATAGTAATTGACAATCAAGTCACCATGAAGGCAGTTGGTAAGGAAAGCCATATAGTAACTGACAATCAACTCACAATGAAGGTAGTTGGTAAGGAAAGCCATGTAGTCATTGACAATCAACTCACCATGAAGGTAGTTGGTAAGGAAAGCCATATAGTAATTGACAATCAACTCACCATGAAGGCAGTTGGTAAGGAAAGCCATGTAGTAACTGACAGTCAACTCACCATGAAGGCAGTTGGTTAGGAAAGCCATGTAGTAACTGACAATCAACTCACCATGAAGGCAGTTGGTAAGGAAAGCCATGTATTAATTGACAATCAACTCACCATGATGGCAGTTGGTAAGGAAAGCCATGTATTAATTGACAATCAACTCACCATGATGGCAGTTGGTAAGGAAAGCCATGTATTAATTGACAATCAACTCACCATGATGGCAGTTGGTAAGGAAAGCCATATAATAATTGATAATCAACTCACCATGAAGGCAGACTCACTGATGTGGACTTCAATGGTGTAGTTGCTAATGTCGTTGACTGAAACACCATAAACTACGTCCTCTCTTTCTTAGGTTCCTCCCTTCTTTGTGTTGAAGACAGCTTGAGTTGGGGAATAAAGCCATCTCAGAGACAAAAGGTACACAAGGTTCATGCCTGAATCTTCAAACCAGACGTGATTGCTGCAAAGATCAAGATACATACGTAGATAGTATGCAGATACACTGCTAATGTACAATCAGGCATGTGTGATAGCTATGCAACTTTGTGGAATTGTAAGCATGTTCAAAAGTGTAATGGAAGGGTTTGATTATTCTTAAGATAGTAAGGTTAATCATTTTGTTTATGTTATGTGACGTAGTGCTACCTATTTCTGCTTTGATACGTGAATGTGTGTATTTCTTACCATTAACTAACACGTCTGCTGTGGGTATGTAAAAAATAAATACGTCAATGTGTTTTTTTGTTTACAATTCAGCCGTGTTTCCCGACACGTCCAATCTCAGCTTCATCCCGGCAGCAAGGTCAAAGGTCAGTTCTTCTGTATAGTACTTGGATGGAACCTGTTATGAAGAATGGATGTCACGTGGTTTATCAAACATTGAGTCATGGCCAGACATTACAGTGATCGCCATCATGAGAATCGATAAACAGAATTGGGATATGGTGTCATGTTATCAACCAGGGAGCCGCGGACACCCGATCTGGTTTGTACTCTGACTTCAGACACGGGGTGCTGGACCTGGTGTCCTGCCTGGAATCAATCACATCTACCTTAACATGAGCTGATCATTTGTTTGTCAAATGAAACTCGTACAAATAGCTCTAAATTTGACAAACCCCGACATGATCCAGCTAGAAATATCACAATCTCCGTCATGATACAGCTAGACATATCACAAATACCGAAATGATACAGCCAGACATATCACAAACTCCGTCATGATACAGCTAGATATATCACAAACACAGACATGATACAGCTAGACATATCACAAGCTCAGACATGATACAGCTACACATATCACAAACTCCAACATGATACAGCTAGACATATCACAAACTCCGACATGATACAGCTAGACATATCATTAACTCCGACATGATACAGCTACACATATCACAAACTCCGACATGATACAGCTGGACATATCACAAACTCCGACATGATACAGCTAGACATATCATTAACTCCGACATGATACAGCTACACATATCACAAACTCCGACATGATACAGCTAGACATATCACAAACTCAGACATGATACAGCTACACATATCATATTGACGGACCGTGAAGATCCGGGGTAGAATAGGTCTTCAGCAACCCACGATTGCCGTAAAAAGGCGACTCTGCTTGTCGTAAAAGGCGACTAATGGGATCGGGTGGTTAGGCTCGCTGACTTGGTTGATGCATGTCATCGTATCCCAATTGCGGGGATCGATGCTCATGATGCCAATCACTGGATTGTCTGGTCCAGACTCGATTATTTACAGACAACAGTCATATAGCTGGAATATTGCTGAGTGTGACGTAAAACAACAAACAAACAAACAAAAAAACAAATAAATAAATAAACAAACAAACAAACAAACAAACACACAAATCTTATATAGACAACATTGATCGATTTGGGATCAAGGAATACATATTTAAATGGAGTTCAACCTTGTTTTGTTTATCATTGTCGACAATAAAGACAAACCAGTCATCATTATGAACCCACCATGGACGGTCGTGCCGTGCCTATATAACACGACACACACTTGACTGGCACCACTTCCCATGATGCACCGGTATAACAGGAAGATGTGTTGTCGTCGGAGGCAATGATGTTGGTGTTGCAGACATCTTTAGGGTCAGCATTGATGACGTCAACATCTACACGTGCATTTTCAAGTTTATAGTTGGCACAGGAAACTGGGGACGAAGTAGGAATTGATATATTTACATCACGAACTCACGCATCAGGGTTTCCTGAACTTAGATTTTGTGTTTGACGCAACCAAGGAAATGGACAAATACATGCAAATACCGTCACACTACATTACTCATGCCTTCTGCAGTTAGTTCTAAGGTGAAAATGTCTTTTGACTTCACTATCTTAAACACATATTAACATATCTAATGACGTCATATTCAATGACGTCACACATAGTTTGAGAAAAAAGCTCTTCAGTCACAGAATTACTTCTTGGACTACAAGCCAGGCAAAACGATGAGATCACTGACCTTACCAACATTGAAAAGAAACGAATATATCCTTCGTGTACAATAGTAAAACAGCATGTATTTCTGAGCATCAAAGTGAACATTGGACATATATCGCAACAGCATCGTATTTTTGGCATATTGGTCAAGTCATGTGTATCGCTACAGAGTCTTATTTGTGACTTATTGAACATGTCATCTGTAGCGCTAAAACATCGTATTTGTGTCATATTGATCATGTCATGTGTAGCGCTACAGCATCGTTTTTGTGTCATATTGATCATGTCATGTGTCTCGCTACAAAATCGTATTTATGTCATATTGATCATGCCATGCTTATCGCTACAAAGTCATATTTGTGTCATATTGATCATGTCATGTGTATAGCTAGAGCTTATTATTTGTGTCATATTGATCATGTCATGTGTATCACTACAACATCGTATTTGTGTCATATTAATCATGGCTTGTATATCACCACAGCATCGTATTTGTGATATTCATCATGTCATGTGTATTCGAAGGAGCATCCTTTTTATGTCATATTGATCATGTCATGTATATCGCTACAACATCGTATTTGTGTCATATTAATCATGGCATGTATATCGCCACAGCATCGTATTTGTATCATACTGAACATGTCATGTGTATCGATACAACATCGTATCTGTGACATGTTGATCAAGTCATGTGTATCGATACAGCATGGTATTTATGTCATCTTGACAATGTCATTTGTATCGCTAAAGCGCCTTATTTGTGACATATTGAACATGTCATATGTAGCGCTACAGCATCTTATTTGTGTCATATTGATCATGTCATGTGTATCGCTACAGCATGGTATTTGTGTCATATTGATCATGTCATGTGCATCGCTACAACATCGTATTTGTGTCATATTGATCATGTCATGTGTATCGCTACAACATCGTATTTGTGTCATATTGATCATGTCATTTGTATCGCTGCAGCATCGTTTCTCTGTTATGTTGATCAAGACATGTGTATCGATACAGGATGGTATTTATGTCATATTGACAATGTCATTTGTACCTCTACAGCATCGTATTTGTGTTATATTGATAATGTCATCTGTATCGCTACAGCATCGTATTTTTGTCATGTCATGTGTATCGCTACAACATCGTAATTATGTCATATTGATCATGTGATGTGTATCGCCACAGTATCAATTTTTGCCATATTGATCAAGTCATACGTGTCGCTACAGCATGGTATTTATCTCATATTGATTATGTCATCTCTAGCGCTACAGCATCGTAATTGTGTCATATTGATCATGTCATGTGTATCGCTACAACATCGTATTTGCGTCATATTGATCATGTCATGTGTATCGCTACAACATCGTATTTGTGTCATATTGATCATGTCATTTGTATCGCTGCAGCATCGTTTCTCTGTTATGTTGATCAAGACATGTGTATCGATACAGGATGGTATTTATGTCATATTGACAATGTCATTTGTACCTCTACAGCATCGTATTTGTGTTATATTGATAATGTCATCTGTATCGCTACAGCATCGTATTTTTGTCATGTCATGTGTATCGCTACAACATCGTAATTATGTCATATTGATCATGTGATGTGTATCGCCACAGTATCAATTTTTGCCATATTGATCAAGTCATACGTGTCGCTACAGCATGGTATTTATCTCATATTGATTATGTCATCTCTAGCGCTACAGCATCGTAATTGTGTCATATTGATCATGTTATGTGTATCGCCACAAAGTCCTATCTGTGTCATATTCATCATGTCATGTGTATCGCTACAGCATCGTTTTTGTGTCATATTGATCATGTCATGTGTCTCGCTACAAAATCGTATTTATGTCATATTGATCATGCCATGTTTATCGCTACAAAGTCATATTTGTGTCATATTGATCATGTCATGTGCATAGCTAGAGCTTATTATTTGTGTCATATTGATCATGTCATGTGTATAACTAGAGCTTATTATTTGTGTCATATTGATCAAGTCATTTGTATCGCTACAACATCGGATTTGTGTCATATTAATCATGGCTTGTATATCGCTACAACATCGTATTTATGTCATATTGATCAAGTCATGTGTATCGCTACAGCAATTTATTTGAGTCATATTGATCATGTCATGTATATCACTACAACATCGCATATGTGTCATATTAATCATGGCATGTATATCACCACAGCATCGTATTTGTGTCATATTGATCATGTCATGTGTATCACTACAACATCGTATTTGTGTCATATTGGTCATGTCATTTGTATCTCTACAACATCGTATTTGCGTCATATTGGTCATGTCATGTGTATCGCCACAGCATCCTTTTTGTGTACTATTGATGATGTCAATTGTATCGCTATATCATGTTATTAGTGTCATATTAACCATGCATTGTGTATCGATACAGCATCTTATTTATGTCATATTGACAATGTCAATTGTAACGCTACAGCATCGTATTAGTGTCATATGGATCATGTCATCTGTAGCGGAACAGCATCGTATTTGTGTCATATTGATGATGTCAGATATATCGCTACAATATCGTATTTGTGTTGAACGCTACAGCATCGTATTTGTGTCATATTGATCATGTCATGTGTGTCGCTCCAGCATCGTATTTGTGTCATATTGATCATGTCATGTTTATCGCTACAGCATGGTATTTATGTTATATTGGTCATGTCATTTGTATCGCTACAGCATGGTATTTATGTTATATTGATCATGTCATGTGTATCGCTACAGCATGGTATTTATGTTATATTGATCATGTCAATTGTATCGCTACATCATGTTATTGGTGTCATATTAATCATGCATTGTGTATCGCTACAGCATCGGATTTGTGTCACATTCATCATGTCATGTGTAACGCTACAGCATCGGATTTGTGTCATATTGATCATGTCATGTGCATCGCTACAGCATCGTATTTGTGTCATATTGATCAAGTCATGTGTGTCGCTACAGCATCGGATTTGTGTCATATTGATCATGTCATGTGCATCGCTACAGCATCGGATTTGTGTCATATTGATCATGTCATGTGCATCGCTACAGCATCGTATTTGTGTCATATTGATCATGTCATGTGCATCGCTACAACATCCTATTTGTGTCATATTGATCATGTCATGTGCATCGCTACAGCATCGTCTTTGTGTCATATTAATCATGACATGTGTATCGCTACAGCATGGTATTTATGTTATATTGATGAAGTCATGTGCATCGCTACAGCATGGTATTTATGTTATATTGATGAAGTCATGTGCATCGCTACAGCATGGTATTTATGTTATATTGATGAAGTCATGTGCATCTCTACAGCATGGTATTTATGTTATATTAATCATGACATGTGTATCGCTACAGCATGGTATTTATGTTATATTGATCATGTCATGTGTATCGCTACAGCATGGTATTTATGTTATATTGATGAAGTCATGTGTATCGCTACAGCATGGTATTTATGTTATATTGATGAAGTCATGTGTGTCGCTCCAGCATCGTATTTGTGTCATATTGATCATGTCATGTTTATCGCTACAGCATGGTATTTATGTTATATTGGTCATGTCATTTGTTGCTACAGCATGGTATTTATGTTATATTGATCATGTCATGTGTATCGCTACAGCATGGTATTTATGTTATATTGATCATGTCAATTGTATCGCTACATCATGTTATTGGTGTCATATTAATCATGCATTGTGTATCGCTACAGCATCGGATTTGTGTCACATTCATCATGTCATGTGTAACGCTACAGCATCGGATTTGTGTCATATTGATCATGTCATGTGCATCGCTACAGCATCGTATTTGTGTCATATTGATCAAGTCATGTGTGTCGCTACAGCATCGGATTTGTGTCATATTGATCATGTCATGTGCATCGCTACAGCATCGGATTTGTGTCATATTGATCATGTCATGTGCATCGCTACAGCATCGGATTTGTGTCATATTGATCATGTCATGTGCATCGCTACAGCATCGGATTTGTGTCATATTGATCATGTCATGTGCATCGCTACAGCATCGGATTTGTGTCATATTGATCATGTCATGTGTATCGCTACAGCATGGTATTTGTGTCCTATTGATCATGTCATGTGCATCGCTACAACATCCTATTTGTGTCATATTGATCATGTCATGTGCATCGCTACAGCATCGTCTTTGTGTCATATTAATCATGACATGTGTATCGCTACAGCATGGTATTTATGTTATATTGATGAAGTCATGTGCATCGCTACAGCATGGTATTTATGTTATATTAATCATGACATGTGTATCGCTACAGCATGGTATTTATGTTATATTGATCATGTCATGTGTATCGCTACAGCATGGTATTTATGTTATATAGATCATGTCATGTGTATCGCTACAGCATGGTATTTATGTTATATTGATCATGACATGTGTATCGCTACAGCATGGTATTTATGTTATATTGATCATGTCATGTGTATTGCTACAGCATCGTATTGTGAGTCGCGTCAGTATCATCTTGATCATGTCATCCGTATCGCCTTCGTGTCATATTGATTATTTCATGTGCGTCACCTCAGTATCATATTATTCATGTCATGTGTGTCGTCTGAGTATCATAATGTTCACGTCATGTGTGTCGCCTCAGTATCATTTTGATCGCGTCACGTGTGTCGCCTCAGTATCATATTGTTTGTGTCATGTGCGTCGCCTCAGTGTTATATTGATTATGTCATGTGTGTCGCCTCAGTATCATATTGATTGTGTCATGCTTTTCGCCTCAGTGTCATATTGATCATGTCATGTGTGTCGCCTCAGTGTCATATTGATTGTGTCATGTGTGTCGCATCAGTGTCATATTGATTGTGTCATGTGTGTCGCATCAGTGTCATATTGATTGTGTCATGTGTGTCGCCTCAGTATCATATTGATTATTTCACGTGTGTGGCCTCAGTGTCATATTGATTATGTCATGTGTGTCGCCTCAGTATCATATTGATTGTGTCATGTGTGTCGCCTCAGTGTCATATTGATCATGTAGTGTGTGTCGCCTCAATGTCATATTGATTATGTCATATGTGTCGCATCAGTGTCATATTGATCATGTAATGTGTGTAACCTCAGTATCATATTGATCGTGTCGTGTGTGTCGCCTCAGTGTCATATTGCTCATGTCATGTGTGTCGCCTCAGTATCATATTGATCATGTCGTTTGTATCGCCTCAGTGGCATATTGATAATGTCGTGTGTGTCGCCTCAGTATCATATTGATCATGTCGTGTGTGTCGCCTCAGTGACATATTGATTATGTCGTGTGTGTCGCCTCAGTGTCATATTGATTATGTCATGTGTGCCGCCTCAGTGTCATATTGATCGTGTCACGTGTGTCGCTTCAGTATCATATTGATCGCGTCACGTGTGTCGCCTCAGTATCATATTGATTATGTCATGTGTGTCGCCTCAGTATCATATTGATTACGATATAATTGTCGCCTCAGTATCATATTGATTGCGTCACGTGTGTCGCCTCAGTGTCATACTAAACATGTCATTTGTGTCCCTTCAGTATCATAGTAATCATGTCGTGTGTGTCGCCTCAGTGTCATATTGATCATGTCATGTTTATCGCCTCAGTATCATATTGATCATGTCATGTGTGTCGCCTCAGTGTCATATTGATCATGTCGTGTGTGTCGCCTCAGTGTCATATTGATCATGTCGTGTGTGTCACCTCAGTATCATATAGATTATGTCATGTGTGTCGCCTCAGTATCATATTGACTGTGTCATGTGTGTCGCTTCAGTGTCATATTGATTATGTCATGTGTGTCGCCTCAGTGTCATATTGATCATGTCACGTGTGTCGCCTCAGTGTCATATTGATCATGTCATGTATGTCGCTTCAGTATCATATTGATTATGTCATGTGTGTCGCCTCAGTATCATATTGATTGTGTCATGTGTGTCGCTTCAGTGTCATATTGATTATGTCATGTGTGTCGCCTCAGTGTCATATTGATCATGTCGTGTGTGTCGCCTCAGTGTCATATTGATCATGTCATGTGTGTCGCCTCAGTATCATATAGATTATGTCATGTGTGTCGCCTCAGTATCATATTGATTGTGTCATGTGTGTCGCTTCAGTGTCATATTGATTATGTCATGTGTGTCGCCTCAAAGTCATATTGATCATGTCATGTGTGTCGCCTCAGTATCATATTGATTATGTCATGTGTGTCGCTTCAGTGTCATATTGATCATGTCGTGTGTGTCGCCTCAGTGTCATATTGATCATGTCGTGTGTGTCGCCTCAGTATCATTGTGATCAAGTCGTGTGTATCGCCTCAGTGGCATATTGATTATGTAATGTGTGTCGCCTCAGTATCATATTGATCATGTCATGTGTGTCGCCTCAGTATCATATTGATCATGTCGTGTGTATGGCCTCAGTGTCATATTGATCGTGTCACGTGTGTCGCCTTAGTATCATATTGATCGTGTGACGTCATGTGTGTCGCCTCAGTATCATATTGATTATGTCATGTGTGTCGCCTCAGTATCATATTGATTGTGTCATGTGTGTCGCTTAAGTGTCATATTGATTATGTCATGTGTGTCGCCTCAGTGTCATATTGATCATGTCATGTGTGTCGCCACAATATCATATTGATCACGTCATGTGTGTCGCCTCAGTATCATATTGATCATGTCGTGTGTATCGCCTCAGTGTCATATTGATCATGTCACGTGTGTCGCCTTAGTATCAAATTGATCGTGTGACGTCATGTGTGTCGCCTCAGTGTCATATTGATCATGTAGTGTGTGTCGCCTCAATGTCATATTGATTATGTCATATGTGTCGCCTCAGTGTCATATTGATCATGTAATGTGTGTAACCTCAGTATCATATTGATCGTGTCGTGTGTGTCGCCTCAGTGTCATATTGCTCATGTCATGTGTGTCGCCTCAGTATCATATTGATCATGTCGTGTGTATCGCCTCAGTGGCATATTGATAATGTCGTGTGTGTCGCCTCAGTATCATATTGATCATGTCGTGTGTGTCGCCTCAGTGACATATTGATTATGTCGTGTGTGTCGCCTCAGTATCATATTGATCATGTCATGTGTGTCGCCTCAGTATCGATCCTGTGACTGCTGTCATGTGGTATTTTTTAATTGATGATGTTAATTGTATCGCTTCAGTACCTTATTGATCTTGTTATGCGTATCGTCTCAGTATCATATGACATTCCATGTGTATCGCCTCAGTATGATATCGATCATATCATGTATATTAGTATCATACTAATCACTCCATCTGTATTGTATTTGTATCATAATGATAATGGCAGATGTTTCCCCTGAGTATCATGTGGATTAGGTCAGCTTAAACTTAATTAAGATACCTATACTGGGGGAAATGACATGTACGAATCACTCCTAGATTGTGTTCAAGATAATGATTGTCTTTAACAGAACTTTCTAGATATTGCAGAAAAGGGTAGAAATTATAAATATATTTTGTTTTGAGATTTGCAGATGTGAATATCAAAGGCATGGCGCCGCTTTGTCAGTTGACTTAACACGAGGTCGTACTGCTTCTCTGTTGACACATGATACGACGTTCCCCTTAGCCTAGGATAATATTTTCTGATAAAATTACACCATATTAATATTAGGCTGACGTTTCCCATGAGAGTTGACACTAAATTGTCCTTTTACGTTATATGTCTTGAAATGACATGATAAAGTGCATGATATTTGATATAAACTACTTGAAACTTGGAATAACGGACTGAAGGATTGAAAAGTCCGTTGAGAAATGCTTGCATCTTACATCATGCATTCACACGGGAGTTTAATCGTGTAGTTCGTTCATTTTCTAATTATTCCATGATACTCACCTCCATAGTACTGCCATCCAGTATCAACTGTGCCGTCACTGCTCGAGCTAAAGGCTTCAGTGTACAATCTACACTTCCTAGTGAGCGGGTTGTACAAGACCAGGTTACACCTCACCCGCCACTGACACTGAGAGAAACATCCAACCCTCTTGTCCACCTGGTTGATCTCTTCTATCAGACTCCCGGCAAACACCAGATCATCCATCTCAGACCTCCTGTAGAAAGTCATTTTAGCACATCTGTCCGTAGTGTACAGTAACGGACTTAGAATGTATGGCAATGTGCATGCTAATAACACAATGTCAGACATTTGAAACAAGATCATAGTGGGACGTGTGTAACAGATCATTCTCTTCTGAGAAGGAATATTGTCAACCCAATGCTTTGTATACACAGAGGTATGGTTTCTGAATCACCAAGTGAAATATCACATATTCTGGCCTGTCATTGGTGTTTCAGGAACGAGGTTACAGCGGGCTTCAGTTTTCTAAAATTCATGATTGGGCGGAGCTTATATGACCACGTGACAGCTGTGTCGTACGCTCAGCTTGTCACCTGGTAGTGACAGCATTGTTTGCCATACAATGAATATTAACTGAGCATCCTTTGACGGCTTCAAGAAGCAAATGATCATATGAATGAATCGTTATTAAATAAACAAATCGATAAGTATATTGTAATATGTTGTTGAAGTATTAAAGTAACTTTTCATCTATCATTTCACATCGCTTTTGCGGAGGTGATGTATATTGAAGAACACCTTTCAAAAACCTCAATCTCAAAGACATATGGATTTAATAGTTTTTCCCCTTGTTTACTCAAGGCGTCCTAAATAGTTTTTGTTGTTTAACGCTGCACTCCACAGTTTTCCCGCTGTATGGCGTCGATATGTCAATAATCGAGAATAGACCAGACAACCCAGTTATTACCATCCTAAGTAGTTATGTTTTATTGGATTGAAGATAGACCCCATTGGCAGTACGAGGGCTGGTTAAAGAGTTCTAAGCCATAAGAAAGTGTTTGCAAATGTATTTGGCTTCTTGGGGTCATTTGCATATTAGTGACAGACAGTTGAACGTGATGGACAGATGGACACTGAAATGGAAAAGAACGATAAGCGAGCAGTCATCAAGTTGTTTGACTTTAGGGAAAAGTACTTCCCAAGAAATTCATGACAGTATGTCACAAGTGTATGGGGATAAGTACCCTAGCTATTCCACTGTCAAAGTTGGGCAGCTATGTTTAGGGCTGGAAGTACAAGCCTTGATGATGACCGCAGGTCTGGACGTCCATCAACTTCCATCAATGAAGACTCAGTCTAGGTGATAGAAAAAAACCTCAAACTGTCAGATAGACGTATTACCATTGCTGAACTTAAGAAAGACACGGGTCTTAGCCATGGACCCATTGAAATTAGTATTCATAAACATTTACAGATGAATAAGCTATCTGTGTGTTTGGTACCAAAGTTTCTAAATTCTGATCTTAAGGGACAAAAATAAGGCATTGCCAGAGTGAATGTAAAGCTAGTTGAGGAGGATGTCGTCAAATTCAAAAAGAGATTAGTAATGGGTGATGAAACATGGGTCTGCCACTATGATCCCGAGTCATATCGTCAATCCATGGAATGGCACCACTCCACTTCTCCGACAGCACAGAAATTCAAGTCTTCAAGATCTGTGAAAAAGGGTATGGTCACTGTATTCTGGGATGCAAATGGTGTGATCCTTGTTGATTACTTAGAAAGTAAAAAGATGATTACCAGTACCCAATATGCTGATTTACGTCATCGCCTGAGAGAAACTGTCAAAGACAAGTGGCGAGGAATGCTGATCGCTGGAGTTCTACTACTTCATGACAATGCCTCTTCTCACACCTCTCGACTTGCAAAGGCTGCTGTGCAAAAATGTCGGTTCGAAGGTCTTCCTCACCTTCCATACTCACCAGACCTGGCACCAAATGAGTGTCACCTGTTTCCTAAACTGAAAGAACACCTTCGTGGAAAGAGCTAAAAATACTTTCACAATTGTCAGTTTTGTTTGTTAGGTTTCGAACCTTTTGTACCAACCCTCAAACGTATATGTAAAGATTTGTTAAGTGCGCACATGAACCACTTTCAATGTCAACCCTGCTGTTCAAATGGCATGTATAACTATTGAGGATAAAGGTGTTCACTAATATGAAAGAAGTAGCTAAATGTCATATATCTTAATGTAATATTTCTAAATCTGAAAGAACGAATGAATTAATGTATAGCATTGTTTCAAAACACAACAGTTGTTTTACTTCAGACAAAGTTTCATCTCTGAGGCTTACATACCTTCTGAGGATAATATGTTTGTTTTAGATCAGCTTCTTTAGTTTGACAATTACAAAGCCAAAGTGTATTTTGAGAGAATGTAAGAGCATTTAAGTTCATGTTATGCAACCACAACTGTAACAGACATACGCGCTCGTAGATATTTTTTTTAATGTGACTGGCGTGTGTTGTCATGCATCTCAACGTTGTACTCAGTGTGATCGATTGTTGCGAGAATGCCTGAGAAACTTTCGTCATACTTTAACACATATTTAATACATGTGTTGAAGGGTTGATAAGCGGCAAACGTTATTATTCATGTTGCAAACAAAAGGTTCCTGGTAATGGATGTGTGAACGGATATAAGCACCAGAGTTGAAGCCAATTGAAGACGCCAATATAATGTATACCCTTAACGATTCTTAACATTTCCACACCACCATCTCTTTCAGCTCTGCCATAATCTTTGAAGGAGTCCATTAAGTGAAACGTTGCAATTAATGCTGTTGTTTTTTGTGTACAGAATGACTCAACTGAAATAGACATGTGTTAAAACCATTCAACGATTCCGACTTTATCAGTTGTTCACCTAAAGCGGGAGCATCTGGTACAAGTCAAACATTGCAGCATTGATGTGACTTGCGTCTAATTGGGAAATATCCTTCACATGTCTACCAGAACACTTTTAAAACCTTTACTAGTGTTCTAACACAGTCAACCTTAGATAATTAGTGCGAACTATACGACCGTTGGTAGATCGCGTGAATAATATGCCATCCAAGTTCGAAAGAATCTGTTCGTGTTACCTTGAATTGTATGTTATATGTTGTTACTTCGTTTTATATTCTCCACGTATGAGGATCATTGTTAAGCAGAACAGGGTGAATGAAAGTGCTGCGTGGTTGTGTTGATGAAAGTGGGAAAAAAGTCAGACTCTCTGTTCATATGGTTATGTTTTATCCCAAATCACCACATTTGTATGATCCGTGAGCGTTACAGTGGTGTGTTACAACATATTCACTACGGTCGTTGAGAGAGGTGGTTAGGACGAACAATTTTGGGAAGGAATTTTAAGAAGAAACACATGTTTGGGACAGGGTGTTTGAACTCTTGTATTTATCAAATGTTGGTATATATCCTCTGCTTTAGTAAGTGTGACTTGTTTGTTATTTGACATAGAAGCTACGTAAATCAAGCGACAAAACCTTTTCAACATCCAATAGAATATCAGCATAAAGCAGAGTCAATTGTACAATTCCGATTATATCATGAGCATAAGTTTATGAATCACTATTGTTATATTGATCACGTCATGTGTATCGCCACAGCATCGTATTTGTGTTATATTGAACATGTCATGAGATTCGCCATAGCATCGTGTTTGTGTTATATAGAACATGTCATGTGTTTCGCTACAGCATCGTGTTTGTGTTCTATTGAACATGTCATGTGTTTCGCTACAGCATCGTATTTGTGTTATATTGAACATGTCATGTGTTTCGCTACAGCATCGTATTTGTGTTATATTGAACATGTCATGTGTTTCGCTACAGCATCGTATTTGTGTTATATTGAACATGTCATGTGTTTCGCTACAGCATCGTATTTGTGTTATATTGAACATGTCATGTGTTTCGCTACAGCATCGTATTTGTGTCATATTGAACATGTCATGTGTATCGCCACAGCATCGTATTTGTGTTATCATCATGTCATGTGTATCGCCACAGCATCGTATTTGTGTTATATTGAACATGTCATGAGATTCGCCATAGCATCGTGTTTGTGTTATATAGAACATGTCATGTGTTTCGCTACAGCATCGTGTTTGTGTTATATTGAACATGTCATGTGTTTCGCTACAGCATCGTATTTGTGTTATATTGAACATGTCATGTGTTTCGCTACAGCATCGTATTTGTGTTATATTGAACATGTCATGTGTTTCGCCACAGCATCGTATTTATGTTATATTGAACGTGTCATGTGTTTCGCTACAGCATCGTATTTGTGTTATATTGAACATGTCATGTGTTTCGCTACAGCATCGTATTTGTGTTATATTGAACATGTCATGTGTTTCGCCACAGCATCGTATTTGTGTTATATTGAACATGTCATGTGTTTCGCTACAGCATCGTATTTGTGTCATATTGAACATGTCATGTGTATCGCCACAGCATCGTATTTGTGTTATCATCATGTCATGTGTATCGCCACAGCATCGTATTTGTGTCATATTGAACATGTCATGTGTATCGCTACAGCATTGTATTTGTGTTATATTGAACATGTCATGTGTATCGCAAAAGCATCGTACTTGTGTTATATTGATCATGTCATGTGTATCACTACATCATCGTGTTTGTGTCATATTGAACATGTCATGTGTATCGCTACAGCATCGTACTTGTGTTATATTGAACATGTCATGTGTATCGCCACAGCATCGTGTTTGTGTCATATTGAACATGTCATGTGTATCGCCGCAGCATCGTATTGATCTTGTCATGTGTATCGCATTTGTATCATCTTGATTATGTTGTGTGTATCACCTCAGTATCATGTTGATCATGTCATGTGTATCACCTCAGTATCATCCTGATGATGTCATGTGTATCACCTTAGTATCCTATTGATCATTCCGAGTGTATCGCCGTTGTACATATTGATCATGTCATTTGTATCACCTCAGTACCATCTTGATCATGTCATGTGTATCAGTATCATCTTGATGATTTCGTGTGTATCGCCGGGATACATATTGTTCATGTCATGTATATCACCTCAGTATGATATTGTTCATGTTATGTGTATCGCCTCAGTATGATATTGTTCATGTCATGTATATCACCTCAGTATGATATTGTTCATGTTATGTGTATCGCCTCAGTATCATATTGATCATGTCATGTGTATCACCTCAGTATCATCTTGATCATGTCAT